CTAGAAGGGCGAGTCCTCGTACATGACATCCACCCTCGTAGGCCAACAGGGCGTTCTGGGAAGGGGGCTTGATCGCGCGAGGCACCGGGTCAATACAACGTCGAACAGGCCCCAGCGTTCCAAGACCACTCTAGAGGACGGCTCTAGCACCCTCGGCATAGGGTACGCAAGTCGGCGAGTCCAGAGGGTACCAGCCTGACTAATCAGTACGGAGAGGGGTAGCTACAGAACCTCGGGTCATCCCAGTATGCGGCACGACGCCTGGACCTTCCCCTTTATTCCCAGAAACGGTACCTGCTCCCCAACTGGGCGTTTGTCACCCTCGGCGAACGGGATCACTGCGCTGTCTCAGTAGGTTTATCACCGTGGCTTCGGCATTCGTTAGTTCGACAGGTAGGTTAGATGGGAACGCTTCGGGGTACAGTCCCCCAGTACGTCGGGGTCCGCTACCGGAAAGTCGAGTAAAACGTCGATAACATCGTCGACTCGTAAGCGTTCGATGCTCAGCGCTTCAGCCCGACTGTGTTCAGAAGCGTTCCGACCGGCACTAGTAAGAGCTAGGTCAACCAATACCTTAGGAGAGTCTGTAGCGGACTTCCTCTGTCATATTGTCGGCAGACGTGCGAAACACCCCAGTAGTTACCACGATAAATGTGTCAGCGAAACTCTTCCCAGTCCACCCGAGACAGGGGTTAGTAGCCAGGCGTAGTTGCAGCGTTATACCAAGACCCACAGGTCCCAACAGAACGAGCCCCACCAGATCAAACACATTAATCGGCACGTACAGCAACAGAGAGAGACACAGAAGTACTGGCCAACAAACGGCTCCACCAACGACATAGATACGCGTCCAGGTATCTTTGACACCTAGAAAGCGTCGCAATAGTGTACGAACGAGGCCATAGTCCGAAGGAGACCATCAGGAATATAATCGGAGGAAGTCCCATACCGGCGATCCACCAACTCCGCAGCACTCGTCCATATCGACCGTACTTGTTATCTCCTTTGAGTAGAACAATCGGTGGCAGTACAATATTATCGAATTGCGGTTTCAAATACGATTGACGTCCTCCATTTGTTTGGGCGCTATTTATTTCAATGTTTTTGTCCTTTTTACTTAGCCGGATGCTCGTTTTATAATAAATAGATGTCGGTTTATTAAATTGAGCTCTTTAAAAAGCACAAATGGATCTAGCTAGACTTGATGATAAATCGAGCTACGGCAGTCAAATTGACCGCTCAGGATCGATCAGCCATCAAACTCACATTGATATCCTGTAATTCGACTATTTTTACCGTTTTGAAATGACAATTCGATCACAGTTAAAAAAAATCGATGCCTGCCTCTTGCCGTCTCGTTTTTATGCGCGGCTTCATGCTCCAACCATGCTCAATCAAGACTATTAAACGGATGGACATTTCATCGACAAAGCACAATAAGTATTATTAGCTAGATCAATCTGCCGCTATCAAGGATATATATATCGGTATATAAAATGACCTCGTTTTATTCGAAATCGACGATAAAACTAAGTGAAAACGACAAAAGCATCAAACGCGCAATGATACATGTGCTAATACATCACCCCTCCAAGTGGAGTCTGGTCTTCGTCTGTCATTTTGTCAGTAACCGGCTAAGGATAATAAAACTTACGATAATACGCCTGTTCTACTGGCTGCCCAGCGCAGCGAAGGCGGCGTCCATTGGCTAAAGGCTGTCGAGCGCAGCGAAGGCGGCCCTATTTGGCTAAACTAGGCGGTATGTAGTGTGCACTGTATGCGGTCGACACATCGTACTTAAATGCACCGATAAATATTGTTTTGCCCCCTTTTCAACTGCGCAGCACCAGAACACTCTTTTTATCTTTTGTAGTAATGCATAATTATTATAGTAGAGTCAGATATAAATACACAAATTTATTACTAGCTAGAATTTTTCTAAAATATGCACACAAACCACTCCGCTGCCGCCAAAAAAGTCATCCTTTGTATTTACGCGCGTAGTGTGTGACCTTCAAAGAATAGGCACACTTTCCAGCACGATGCGTAGCGTACATCCATCGCCTTGGGAACATAATTTGTGGTCGTTTTAGGCGGAGGCACAGAAGAAGTAAGAGCACGAAAATGCAGCAGAACGGAGCCAGACCTTGTACACGATAAAATGAAAGTGAAAGCACGGACGTACACGAAACCACAGGAGGTCACGGCTAAAGAAAGAGGCCAAAGACATAATATCAAAACTTAGGTTCACGGAAGAGCACACAAACATGAAAACACAGAAGGAAACAAAGCGACGGGACGTAATGATCACACATGATACCTGAAATAATGACATTTGAATTGTTGAAAAGCACGGCCCATGGCAGAGCACGCACGTTCGAAGCCACGGTAGCACACTTAAAGTACACGGAACGGAGATCTCGCACAGTACCACAGTAGCGCACGGAGCACGGTCGACGGACCAAACATGAAGCCGCTGGAGACATGAACGAGAGCTCGCCGAGCATTGGAACACGATACCAGGGTAGAACCGGAGCTCACCGATCCGCGGAGACCGATACTATGGTAGCTCGCGATAACGCGGACTACAGACCAATCGTGACAGCACGAGATAACACGATAGCATGGACGGCGGCCAATCCACTAAGGCATGGGATAATACGCAGTCATGGAAGTTATAGACGGAAAATCACCGATCCACAGAGCACGACATCAGTGTAGAACGTGAGCTGACCGGGCTACGAAGCGCAATACCACCGAAGAACTCGAAAGAACAGAAGACGGACCAACCACGAGACCAGAAAGAACACCCTAGGAAGCTCCATTCCACAGTAGAACACGATGACATGGGTGACAAATGTACACTTTGATGTCACCATAGCATAGACGATAGAATTATACCGCCGCATTACGATACAGTGACAGTACCATGAGTGCATGATACAAGGGTGGTGGGACCACACAACAAGGTGGAGGCACCGAAATCACGGAAGAGAATCCCTCGGCGAGGGTATCGATGATGGGATGTCACGGACCACAAAATATTATGGACCACGAGGCGTGTTGATCCCACGAAAGCTTTTAAAATCAGGGCATAGTTTGCAGACATAAAAGAGAGCCATACTACGGTAAAGCATGACATCAAAAGCGAGAACGCATAACTGTGAGTTACGAGTGAGTAAGGAACCACATAGCCAGACAGGACACGGAAGAGCACGAACCACGAAAGAAAATTACATTCAAGATGTAGTTGGGAGCAATGGTAGCGAGCAAAATCACGCTATCGTGCAAGGTCACGTGAGGCTACAGAATGATAAGTGGTTTAAGTACACGAAATCGCGGCGTACTTAACTGTCCAAAGGCACACACAACCTGGAGTACAGGATCGTAAGCGAAAGCACGCGATACATCGCAGTGTTTAAAGCTGCGGCCACCTCATCTCCAACAAACCGTGCCACCACGCCGCGTAGCGGCGGCGAGCGGCTAGTCTACCCCCTAATGGAGTCTTGTCTGCGTTCGCCATTCCGTCCGGAACAGACTAGGGCTAAAAATACTCCACGCCAATACGCGCATTGTACTGGATGTCCAGCGCAGCGAAGGCGGCGGCGATTGGCTGTAATTTGCAACATGCGACACTGGCTGGATTTGTGGACGAGCAGACCGTCTCTTGCGTATTTGATCAGACGAGGACATTTCTGCAATGACAACGAAGCATATCAACTGGGTGAAAACAGCTGGTCTGGCCTGTCTGACTTTGAGCAATTAAAAAAATGAAACTGAAAATCTGTCCTATGAACTGTAAGTCGGGCACGGTAACCACTGTTAATTGCAAACGCGATAGAGATGAGCATAACTGCTTGCAGCACTAGCAATTAATGCACATGGGCTTAACTGCTGGTAGCGCTACCAATTAAGACACGCGGGGCTCAAGCGTGCACCCATATATTTGCACCTGTACACCACACATATGATATTAACAACGGTGGACATATATGATCGTGGGCGTACTCTCATAACATTGTTCTTACTAAGAAGACTATTAGGTTTTTAAAAAAATCAATACTACCAATTTTTTTTTAATAGTATCATACCATTTGTGTAGCCCAAACGTGAGCAATAACTTGCTAATTATAGTAGCATCAATGGATAGTTAAAAAAGTAGCTTTAATTTCTTAGGCCGTGTTCGACTTGCTCCCTAATAGCTATTTCAGCGAGGTTTTTTTCTGATTCTTAACGTTTTTAAATTTATACCTAAGTTTTATAAACACCTCATATACCTCGAAATGCTTGGTTTTCAAATTGGTGATATACTTGTTTTTCACGAACTAGCTATTTTCGATTGAGCTGCTAAAAATAGGCGCATTGTGGCATTATTCCGTTGATCCCTCATTCTTTAGCATTCCTAGTACGATACATATTTACTTCAAACAATATGCGTGCTAAGTAAGCCCAAAATATTGTGAAATATGTCGGGGTATCCATATTCAGCACGTTCGCATGGTCCACAATATTGTGTCAAATTTCACATCGAGGTGCAATTCCTTAAAACCAAGGCTAAATTTAATAACCCAAGTAAAAAGCATTTTAAAGGCCGTGTTCGAGTTGAAAGACGTAATTTCGCTAAAAATAGCTATTTCATTTGATCTTTGCGTGAAGGTAACCTCAATCGACATTCGTACAATATTCAAAAGTGTACAGTACTCCAGCGATATGTCTAGTGGCGAAATGCGATCGAATGCCAGTCCAGTAGGTTTGTACAATATGTACAGTATGTGCTGTAAGCAAGTATAGTGAGTTAGGCCATTCAATAATATTGAAATTAAAGAAATCGAGCGTAGGATTTCAGGTTTTTTCTTGGGACTACTTATTTGGTGTTGGCCTCTATATCCGTTTTTTAATCATCGAAAGTTAAATGGAAGACAAACAGCTTAACATAAATCATACCAGTACACTAACAAGCTCGTGTTGACAACAACAGGAGTTCAGCGTCCCTTTTGTCGTTAATGGTTAAGATACGCCTGGTATGCTGCCTTGAACTGCTTGATCGCCTTATTGCTCAGACCTTGACTCTTCATGTAGATGACAGCGTCATCAGCCGATTGCATGCCTGATTTCCACGAGGCAAAGATATTTCTCAGCGTTTCAGGTTCGTCCCTCATTCTTTTGAATTGCTGAGGCAAACCGTGGAAGATGTCATCCAAAACGCTAAAATCAAACTTATGGTAGAAGGCACCGCGTTCTTTATCTCCCGCATCGTCGGTCATGGTTAAACGGAGAAACCTCGTTTCAGCATTGGCCTCAATGGCCTGAGCGTTGGTAGATGAGACGAAGGTGGTCACAGCCAGCAAGAGAACATGTGAGAGACGCATTCTTGGGCTTGGATTTGCCTCGTGGAAGGAGGACTTGTGGTCTTGTCAGTAAAATTGTGAACTGAGCACTGAGCACTGAGCACCCACCAGCGTCCCAAATTGTCAATTATTTAATACAGAAAAATAATACTGTACAGCTGGTAATCACCTACCCGACTGTGAATGTTTGTCAACACTAATTTTAAGATAATGGGGGACGGATGGCACTTGCATCGTATAAAAATTTGCTCCGCTGGTTCCTGCGACAACAAGATTCTCTCACAGGAGTGTGTGATGTTCGGCTCGCTGCCGCCTACGCAAATACGGCACGACACTACTTCGCAGGCACCCCGCGCAGGTTTGCTGCGTCTACGTGACCTCGCATCCACTTCCGTTGGTCTTTTCTGTTATGTTTTGTACTCGAGCTCACCCACCTCAATCTCAGTCGGGTGATCTAACACTATCTTTATATTTTGCGCATACAGTAATTCGCTAGGTCGGCATAAAACAAAATAGCGAATTTCGATGGGGTTTATTTTGATAATCGCGAGCCAAGATGGGCGGTGGAAGGAGGTCATTTGTTTTAAGGACTATACTGTACACTTGATTAAACAAACGGCCAGAAGTTCGCGTTAATGTGTACTAATTACAAAGTACAGTATTAATACATGTACATGTAGTACGATGTACAACATATAATGTTTACGGCCTTGTTGCATTGTACATCAAGCCCGTAAACATCATTTGCCCATCACAAAACGGTACAGTACTGCACCCCGTTTTCGCGCCCTTGGACTTTAAATAAACTACCGGATGTAATGACTCTGAATCCAAATTAACACTGATTTGTATGCTAAATTCTGATTTATTTGCAAATCCACCCCCGCGAAAACGGGGTGCAGTACTGTATGATCCTTCTCTACATGTATATACTCCAGGAGTATAAAGAATGCATGAACGCTAAATTTTTGTTCAGAGTTGTACAAATACTGTAGTGCATTCTCATATCTGGAAGGTACGTACAGTATGTCAGTCGATACATGTATAAAGCCAGCATAACCTTAAATTTTGTACATGTACTAAAGTTAGCATACTGTAGAGACAAATAAATCTGCGTGTGGTCGATGATGCGCTTGCACCGGGAAGAACAAGGCCGGGACTTGATGGACGTAAAATGTTGAACTTCCTAGTGGGAAGCACTGTGCTGCTTCTGAAGCAGTGCTTCAAGCACTTGAGAATTGCTCAGGATTTTAAACAAATTGTTATTAAAACAGTACAAAATTTTCGCAGAAAAAATATCTGTGGGAAGTTTCTAAGCCCTAGGACATTAAATGTCCATTATATTTTAATGTCCTCGTATAGTACAGGTCGAGTTCGTCCCACCCCTGCGAGCTTACTGGAGTTTACATGTTGAATGAATATCACTGCCGTGCCGAGCCGAAAGGGCTTCTATCAGTGTTTGCGGTAGTGCTGTAGAAGTGAAAATAGTATACGTAGTATCAGATAATACCAATACAGCAGCGGAGATGGCAGGTATGATTTAGTTTTCAAAGTCGTATCGCGTACGAAGAAGCCCGGAAATGTCGCTAGCTGGCGCTTAGATATTTGAATAAAAGGGATGCTCGGGATGCTGCTTAGTCTTTTGTAGCAATGTACTAACACGACGCTTATCTCAGCTTACAACGCATGGAAAGCCCCCCCCGTAAATTAAAATATGTTTTAGAGAATTCAACGCGTCTGGAGCAATCATTAACACATTGCTCTCACTTCTTGCTGTCATAACATGTAAGTCGTTTTGTTGTAAATTTACATTTGTTGGTGTCGTATTCGGACATGATTTGAAGTTGCTGTAAAAGCACCACAGCAGCAAAACTCTATTGCAAGTTTGGCAGCGACTACTATCAGATGCTGAATGAGTAAATTAAAAAGTGGGCCTAGCTAATATGAGATATAACTGCCTTTATACTAGGAGATTGGTTGCATAAGCTTGCTATGGGAAATCCAAAGAAGAATACTTGAAGACCGCTAGGTCAAACAATCGTTCAAATGGTGCACATTAATATGAAACAGACTGAAGTGACTTTGACATTATAATAGTACGAAATTTAACAAATTGTCCCATGTCCAGGAATGAGGGGGCCGTTCCAGGCTTCGTGCCGCATACTGGGATGACCCGAGGTTCTGTGGCTACCCCTCGCCGTACTGATTCGTCAGGCTGGTACCCTCTGGACTCGCCGACTTGCGTACCCTATGCCGAGGGTGCTAGAGCCGTCCTCTAGAGTGGTCTTGGAGCGCTGGGGTCTGTTCGACGTTGTATTGACCCGGTGCTTTGGCGCGATCAAGTCCTCGCAGAACGCGCTGCTGTCCTTCGAGGGTGGATGTCATGTACGAGGACTCGCCCTTCTAGGGAAAAGGAAGCGGCATCATGCATGTGAGAGCAAAAAAGCGCTAGGCCTCGTATTCATTAGCGCTTAGTCTTATATAGGCAAGCTGCTACTCAAGTGGAAGTCGAACCAATAAAGAAACGTATACTTTAAGTGTACTTGCGTACCGTTCCTGTCATTGAACGGGACCGTACTCCCTGAACAGCCGCAGACTACCCGACCCAAGAAGGAAGTATGTATACGACATTTGGTGAGAAGCAGGGTAGTCTTCTCGCTGGAGAAGGTCTCGATACAAGTGAAGACTTGAGTCGAACGTAAAACGGAAACAACATCAAGGAGGAAACGAATTCTACTAACACAGGCGATGACGCGAGTAACATGGAGAGTGTTAACGGAAGTCTACCTTCAAGGACGAGACCTAATTTGTCGACTACGCAAGGCCTTCAAAATGTGCAAATTATCGTGAATGCAGCCGCCAATCGACTTGGGGGAGGCAGTTCGAGTACTGGAACTGAACCACCCGCGGGCGCTTCGGGCTCCGGGGCGACTTTGGCTACTACTTCGCTAGACTAGGGTCCAATGTTACCGCTGGACGGTGGTGGTGGCCAAGGTACGTTGCTGGCCCAACCTTTTAACTAGTCGAGATATGTAGCTGCCCCGAAACTACCAGCGGCTATGAAAAGAGCGAATGGGAACGGTAACTTAGTGAGTCGCTTGCTAGCGTCCCATGTGAGAACGGCAATCCCTTCGTACCAAGGGTACACTATCCGGACCCCGGGAACGTCGTATGGGCAGGATTACAACCCGTTCTTTCTCTATCCTCTCTATCTACGGTCGCTGAGAAAAGTGGAAGCGCTTCCCCTACGAGTACTCCTCAGGGAGCTGCTAACATCCTTCATGAAACATCCAGTCGAGTAGTAGCCTACAAGGCAGAATTGGAAACGCTCAATCTGCGACTGCTCGAGCGTCACAAAGTCTTCTACACAGGCGTCCGTTTCGACCACTTGAGCCACGACGCAGGCTCAAGGGTTTCGAGCTAGACCGACCACCTACGGGTCCGGCCCAACCGGCGCAATCGGAGCTTCCGAGGGAACGGAGGGATCACTGTCTCAACCGGAACTCAGCAGAGCCTCGCGTATGGTGGCAATGGAAGTAACCCTTACTACGCTTCCCCGACGTACGCTAACGCCTCTACGACGACTATTGTTCAGTATGGTATGTCTACTATTATCAGGGACGCTATCCGTAAGATCCAACCGCTCTACCCGGAAGGAGCGTCTATGGACAAGGCTCGATCATTCTGGGAGGCCTTCGAACGCGCGATTATCGGACTGGATGAGCAGTCCCGACTCAGTGCTTTCCGATAGTGCCTAAAAGGCAAGGCCGGAGAAGATTGGTGGGTATACTTGCGCATCAATAGCTTTGACCCTTGGGGACTCGGTTCCACAACCGGTTTATCAGTTTGATCCCGGTGCATTTGATCTAGAACCTCAACAACATTAAGCGACCCCGAGAGATGTCCGCTGAAGTGTGGGGTTTCATGATTTCAAGCCTATGCGATGTTGCCCTGTGTTACGATCCTCAGATGCGTTACCAGCATTTCTTGTCTGGACTTCGGAGCAGAAACGCTCTCGCGACTACTATGATTGACTTAATCCCTGCGGCGGTGGCCATGTTACTCCTCAAGAACATGCACCGTCCAGTCAAAGACGACTCCGAATTCGATAATGTTCCTACCACTAGGATTTCCAACGAGAATGATGTCCTCGAACGCATGATGAACACGATGCAGCAGACCCAGAATCTACTCGCTCAGCAACAACAACAGCAATTACAGCAGCAACAACCGATGATGAAGCGCCGAATGGCAGCAACCTACGCTACTCCTGTGATGAATGTGGCTGCGGCGTACTTTCCTCCCGAGCATAACGCTTCGCAGCAGTTTCAGACCAATGGAACGCTTCTAGCCACACTGCTAAGGGGTAATCGCCTAAGGCCTGACATGCACACTTGCGATGGTCATATCGTGTGTGGTCGTTGTCACACGCTAAGGTGTAGTCGGATCCTCTGTCGTCGCGCCTGCCCTCACTGCAATGAAGTGAATCACATCGGTGCTGAACGTGATCGCGTTCCTGCCAGCGGGTTCAGGAACAACCAGGAGAGGAACAGTCGCAGGTGCTTCTTGAGTGATGAACCTCGTCACATGCTTGCTGAGTGTCCTCTGAAAGCGTCCCTGAAGAGACTCGAAATTCCAAATGCGACGGCGTTGATACCCCTCCCGAGACACCAGCCCAACCATCAGTGATGAAAGCAAGAGGAAGGGGAATGAGTGCCGCTCCTACCTCTTCCCCCTTGGCTAGAGAACGACACGAATGGGAACACTTTGAGCTCCATGGAGGGTCCACCGAGGTATGAGGTGTGTCCTGTTGTGGGTGGGATTAGCTCCACCAGGCTGGAATAAAGTGATTCGACTGTGAATGAAAGGTATTTGACTAGATCTGAGCATCAACAACCGGTTATGAATAACGGAGGTGCTGAGCCCGTGTGGAACGGTGCGTCAGTGGTCCCTAATACGATCGGCGGTTGGGGGATGGAGTGAGAACATTTGTGGCTGATGGAGGCCCTGGGCTCGCTCTT